TCTATTGCTGTGGTACTATTGTTGCTGTCAAAGTTCCACAAGTTGAAACTGCGTGCGGCGTACAGCAAACAAGTCTGCCACAACATTCCACCTAAAGGTAACTGCCAAGCAGCGCCACCTTCTTCAGCAGGTCGTCGACGCTTTATTTACCGCCTCCAGGTCGAGCCATATCGACCAAAATCCCTGCTTCATTGCAGAGACCTGCCTTTCCACAGCACCTTTAGACTGCGGACGGTATCCTGGCACAACATCTACAATCGTAGGGTTCTCGCGCCTCTGCGCCGCGACCCTCTCGCACATGGATATCAGACCCTGTTCGTTGTCGCACCGAAACGTTAAAGTCTTTTGGTGCAATCCAATTTCGCGGATAAACCGATCGATATTGAATAACAAGTTCGGGTCGTGTAGTTCCATGGCGGGGATAGACATTGAGTACCGGGACGCAACATGTACAAGAAGAAGAACCCTCAGTTTCCCAAAATAATAGAAATCGACCCCAATGGTTTGATTCTCCTTCTGTAGCTGCCTCTTCAGTCTCCTGGCTGGGACTTTGCCTTTGCTAGAGCAGCAGCTTTCGCAGTTCACATCATAGGGAAAATGACCTCGCGATCGATGTACCTGGAGTGCGTGGCTACGCAACGGGATCCTTTCTTCAATCTCCTCTCCTTGTGGAATTGGGGCTTCAGGAGGTTGTTCCGGGTTTTGTGGGGAACGATTCGGTTGGTTTAACGAAGACGACGATTCAACATCATCACGATCCAAGATCAAGGGATCAGAGCCTGTGCCACTTCCTGGAAGGGGCAGCCCTCTGAGCATCCGCAGATGCCCAGTCACTGGCTGCTTTAAGCCTCCTTCCGGCACTCTCTCATCATTTCCCTTCAACACAAAGCATGCCACGTCAAGACACCATGCCAAAACATGCCAAACACGCCGCAAACAAGCCAACAACTTTAAGGTTTTGGGCTTTCCCTTAGTTGGGGCTTTCGGGCTTTTTCTACCAACCAACAAGATCCGTTCTACGCAAACACGCTTGAAGCATTTTCGGGTGCGAATACGAATCCAACATCCTCCTTTTCGGGGCTTTATTTTACTCATCTCAGGTGCTCTCTTGGAGCCTCTCTGAAAACACTTTTCGAGCAATTTCCAAAGACCCGAAACAACGACCCCAACCAAGGCACTGAAAATCAGGATGAGGAACACCATCGCGAAGTCGATGACTACTCCTATGAATTTAACCGGGAACGAGCACGTACCTGGACGCGCCGTCGCAAGTTTGAGAGGCCTAATCCCTGCTGGCCTTTCTCCGGAGGGTTTAGGCAGCAGTGAGAGGGGCCTAATCCCTGCTGTCCTTTCTCTGGAGGGTTTAGGCAGGAGTGAGAGGGGCCTAATCCCTGCTGGCGTCTCTCTGGAGGGTTTAGGCAGCAGTGAGAGGGGCCTAATCCCTGCTGGCGTCTCTCTGGAGGGTTTAGGCAGCAGTGAGAGGGGCCTAATCCCTGTTGCTGGCGTTTCTCCGGAGGGTTTAGGCAGCAGTGAGAGGGGCCTAATCCCTGCTGCTGGCGTTTCTCCGGAGGGTTTAGGCAGCAGTGAGAGGGGCCTAATCCCTGCTGCTGGCGTTTCTCCGGAGGGTTTAGGCAAGAGTGAAAGGAGCCTAATCCCTGCTGCTGGCGTTTCTCCGGAGGGTTTAGGCAAGAGTGAGAGGGGCCTAATCCCCTCTACGCCCTCTGTGGCCAGATTTCCAAAGGGACGACACAGGTCGGCTATTTTTGAGGTCTCTTGGCCACTCCATCCCAAACAAATCAAGTCAAGCCATGCTAAGGTTCCAGGGCCATGGTTGCTGCCGCTTCTGCTTCCGGCAACAAGCAAGGGGAGCGATTCGTCATGCCACACACAAGCACACGTGCCATGCTTCAGGGTTCTAGGGACGTCATGCCCAGCGCAAGCACAAGACAACATGTCAAACATGCCAGCACTGCCTTGCGTTAAGGCTTGGGACCCTTGAAAAACATGGTAAAACATCTCCTCCTTGCTCTTTTTGGCTCGCGCGCCTAGCGCGTCATTCTTCCAACCCCCAAAACAGAGCTGCGCACCGCATGCGCCGATCCTTCCTTCTTCGAAAACAAAACTCTCATGCCAACACACCGCAAAACATGCCACAAGCCATGCCAAGAACCATGCCAAAATATGCCAGCAAGACTTTCCTAAAGACTTCTGAGCCATTTCAGGGCATTTTCGGGGTACTTTCGGGCATTTTCGGGGTGTTTCGGGGTAAGCTCTGTGCACTTCGGGCACGCTCAGGGTGCTTGCGGGGTAGTCTTGAGGAACTTCAGGGACCACTTTCGGGGATACTTCGGCTCTAAGCCCTCGCAGCAAGAAAGCAAACGGCGTCTCAAGCAAAGCATGCCGGCAATCACCGCTCTCTCTTCCTTGTGGCTTCTCGACTTCCGCCTTCTTTCCTCCTGTCGTCGCTTTCTTGAGGATACTCGGTCCTGGCTGTGGCTTAACAACAGAGTCCTGCAGGCAGGTAATCGCGTCTATTTCCATGTCCGAGCCCGAAGGCTGGCGTGGAGAACGACCTTTCCCCGCTTCTGGCGGCGACCCCCGCTCAAAGCCCACCAGGCCCGATTAGCGGATACAAGTTTCACGTTGCGTTTGCCTTTGTACAACCTAGACCCGGTTTTGTAGAGATACGTTCTCCACCCTTTCTCCACCGCCGCCCAGGGACTAATGGCGTTGAACGTCACTTCCGCAACGAGAACCTCAGTCAAAAGAAGGCTACAATCACCGAAAACGACCTCTAAGTCGACGACGTCCGATACGGGGATCTTCCCCCCTGAAGCGTTGTACAGAGTGACCTCTCTCTCGTGCTTCCTGACCACCCTGAATCCGCTGAGGTGTTCAGAGGAAACCACATGACACGTGGCTCCAGAATCCACTAACCAAACGTCTCTCGGTTCTAGCTGAAAGCTGGCGCAGATGCGCTCTACATCCCCTGCAGTCAAAGAGTTGCTAACAGGTCCCAAACGTTGCTTGTCGAGTGAAAAACCTACCCTACGCTCATGCGACTCAGAAAGGCTCAGTTCAGGACCTTGCTGGGCAAACCGCATTGCCATCACAGTCTGTGTCGGCGATGCTTCCGCCTCGGACTCTGGTTCTCCCATAGCCCGGGCGCGGTTCTTCTTTTTCTTGCCCTTGTCCTTGCCTCTCTCTCCCTTTTCACCCTTCTCTCCCTTGGAGGTGGGCTTTCCTTTCGGCGTCGGAGAGCGAGGCGTGCCCTTCGGAGTGGGCGACCTTTGTCCTTTAGGGCCACCAGTGCCCTTTCCACTCTTCGACTCTCCCTGGCCGCCCTTGCCGCCTTTGCCGCCCTTCTCACCAGCCTCACGCTGTCGTGACCAGCAATCCTTTGCCACATGATCATGCTTGCCGCAATGGTCGCAAAGCTTGCCGTCCATTCCACGATTGGCTGCAGTCGGCACGTCGCACATCCTCAGCTGTTCTTCGAAGTATTTGAGGCTCTTCGTGAGCTCACTCCAGCTGTTGGCGTTGCCGTGCAGCGCCACGTACTGCCTTGCCGGATGCGAAACGGCCTGCAGCAGGATGGAACAGCGATCCGCTTCGGAGAGCTTCAACTCGGGGAAGTTGCTCAACTTGATCTCCGCCTTGGCGATTTCGTCCTCCAAGTGTCTGATGATGTCCATGGGCTTTTTGAGCCCCGAACATTGTGCATGCAACTTCATGCAACCGTCTCTCACGTAGACGGCCTCCATTCGAGACACAATGGAGTAATTGAGGTGCAGGGTGCGAACTGCCTCGTAGCCGGTAGCAGACATGCTCTGCCTTTTGCTACAGCTTCGAAGCAACTCCAAACCACGCTCCCACTTCGCCAAACTCTGCGACAGCAGGTAAAACAACTTCGCCGACCGAGCTGCAGTGTCAGGAGGCAAAAGGTCCTGTCGGATCTCGTCCTTGACGCCGACGCAGAGACGAATCTCGTTCACGTAGGCTTCGTCCTGCAGGGCCAGCCAAGAACTCAGCGTCTCTAGGAAGCTGTGCCAAGCTTCAATCTCCCGCATGCGGTCTCTACCCATCTCTTGGTGGGCAAAAACGGCAACTGTGGAAGATACTTGTCGGCACGGTTGGAAACGTACCCTCCAGTTGAACTCCCAGCTTCCTTGGGCACCGAAGGTGGAGTAGAGCTCGGGACGCCAGTTTCTGCAGCAGACGTTGCTGCTACAAACGGGTCAAGAGGAGCAGATGCCGATTTCTTCTCGGCCTTTGCTTTGGCTTCGACAGCCGCCGCTTCTGTCTCATCTCTTCTCTTCTCCTCACTGTCCATGCGACGAAGCATGGTCGCTACAAGCTGCTGGTTCTGTTCTAACTGTCGACGGCACTGCTCCATCAAAGCTTCTTGGTTTCTCTGCTGTTTTGCATCATCCGCAGCATCTCAACCAAGCCTTCTTCCACAGCACCTACACCAGAGGCACCGGCAGGCTGAGAACTTGCAGCTGGTGTTGCGGACGGAACTCCTTAGGTTCCAAACAGCAAAGCCTCCTTCTCGGGAGTGTTGTCAGGGACTGGGACTTGTTTAGGAGGCAACGCCCCGTGCACTGGAGAACTCTGTGGGCTTCCATGCACACTTCCGCCTTGCTCTGGAGTCGCCATGGCGTGGAGGTACTGAACACAAGCGCTGGAGTCACTCCAGTGCTCCGCTCATGTGAAAAGCAGAGCTCGCGCAGCAATCTCTTTTTCACTTTGCACTTGAGCCAAACACCAAAAAGTGTTCAGCAAGCTTCAGTTCTTGCAGCAAGAATCACCTGTGGGTCAGAACCGGCGGGCTTCCTGGCATGTGCCATGAGAAACAAAGGCTGGGATTTGATCATTGTCAGTCTGTATTTGGAGCAGGGTCGGATTCCAGGCAATATCCAAGTACTGGCGAGACTGATAGCCTTTCTCAAGGGCTGCAAAGTGCCATATATTGAGATTGGAATGAAGCCTAGGATACCATGAGGGGCACAACTATGGCGACAGAAGTTGGTGGTGCATTTGTAGGAGTGGGGGAACCAACGGCCCAAGGATCGGACGAAATTGATTACGGGCTGGTTGCGAAATGCTTGGTGCCCATCCTGCAAGTGAAAACGGATTGGGAAACCCCTTTTCGGCCTCATGCTGCGATGCATTGGATGGCCCAACCGTGCAGTAGCCCTGATGTCCCAGATGAAGAAGGCGGGAGCATTGGTGACGGAGACTGTGGAAGACGAACCAGGCAAGAGGGCGGCCTTTTTGGAACAGGGTCTAACAATGGGTCAAACAAGGCAGACATCATGGCGATGCGCATCCGGTGGCGCGTCTGGTCCAACGCAGACTCGGCGAGTATTGCGAGGGTGATGCGCAGAACCAGGAGGATATGCTCGTGAATATCCTGGGCCGGGGTACGGACGCTAGACTTGTTCTGAAGCGCATCGACGAACAGCAATGCTACGCGAGAAAGGCGGATATGGAAGAGACAGCCCACCAGCACAAGCAATGGCTCAGCAAGGCCATGGAAAAGGGCATGCGACCATTATGCAATGCCTTGCGAAAAGAAGAACAAGTGGTACAAAGACCCTACATGGAATATGACATGCTGGAACGGCCACATATTCGCCGAGACCACTGGGCGGCAGTGTGGACGACGGGCCAGCCGTTGGCAAAATCGGCCTCGCTCATGACGGAGCTTGAGGATGCAGCCAAAAAACAAGCGGCCAGCGTAGAGCCGCTGAACCCTTGTCGAGGTCAAGGCAAGGATCAAAAAACTGGCACTAAAGAGACCGGGGCCGGATAGCTGGAGGATTGACCATTTGCAGGCCATGGACGACAAAGCAGTTGAAGCAGGCCAAGGCAGCTGGCCGCAGCAAATGACAGTCTCCCTTTTTGCAATGCTGCCGAAGAATCTGACCCGGGAAAGACCAATCGCCTTGCTACACATCCTGTACAGGACCTGGGTCCGTTTGCGATGGGATTTGGTAAGTACTTGGCAGGCAGGCTATGTGCCACGGACGACAAGGCAGTCCCAGGCAGTTGCTGCTTGGACGTGGCCTACTGCGAAATGAGGTGGCGAAGACAAATGGTGTGCATGTGGTGTCACTCTTTGTGGACCTCGAGTCCTTTTTCGATACCATCCAATTTCAGCAATTGATCACGGCAGCAACGGCCCTGCAATATCCACCGCTAATCCTGAAGATGGCACTGGAAGTGTACATGGGTGCCAGATATTTGGTGGCGGATGGGGTGCTGTCGGCAGGCATCAGAGCTACGAATGGCGTGCAAGCAGGGTGTCCAGCTGCGCCATCGTTGGCAAAGGTGGCATTGCACCCGGTGATAGATAAGATCCAAAGGCGACGAGATGTGGCAAACGTGGATTGTTGGTTGGATGATGTCTCAATTGACATCCAGCATAAGTCCTTTAAACAAGTGGCGGATAGTGCGATACGAGTCTACCGCAGCTTAAAGGACGGGATGGACGCTAATGGTTTCACGATTTCATCCAAGAAGACAGGGTTTGTGGCCAGCAGTACCCAGGCGAGCAAGCACCTGCGAGAACTCCTGTTGCCTCATGAGCCACAGGTGTACGACGTGATGCGTGACTTGGGCGTCGACAGTACAGGGGGGCGAAAGCGTCGCTTGGTGACGTCGGCAACGCGGGCCAAGAAAGCCCATGCGAGACATAGCAAACTGTCCAGGCTGGGGCCGCCGCCCAGCACTAAACTCCGCGTGGTCAAGGCAGCGATCACATCCGTTGCTTTGTGGGGGCACCCCTCTGTGGGGGTATCACCTAAAAGAATGAAATGGCTCCGAACAGTGGTCTGGGTAAATACAAGCTTGGGAGTTTGGAAACCATCTTGGACATGGGAGCCAAGAAATGCCAGGATCCAAAGCGCACAATCCACAAGCAGCATTTCAAGGTGGTGGCCAAGGTTTTCCGTGCATGGATTGGTGGCGGAAAAGCCCACTTTGACTTGGCCTGGAAAACCACTTGGAAGAGGTTGAGTGCGGCCAAACACCACTGGCCACTGGTCACGGGGCCGATGGCAGCAACCATGGCGTACTTAATGGATCTGAAGGTGGATGCCAGTGACCCAGGCAAATGGAAGAGAGGAAGTGTCCTCAACGTTGATTGGACCCAGCCACGCATGGGCAGCCTCGCCTACAAATGGCTTGAGGGATTCCTGGAGGAACAAAAACGGGCTGCAATAGCGCGACAGGCAGGTGGCGCTGGTGCCCAAGAGGGGCTGGATTGGACGCCGCATCACAAGCTGACGAAGCTGGGAGGCCTAAGCCCAGGCCTTATGGAAGGTATAAAGTCAGTGTGGCACGCGGGCGTCATCACGGAGACCAAGCCAGGATGGTGCAAGAAGTGCCAACTGCCAGCAACTCTGGAGCATGTCCTCAAGGAATGTCCTTACTGGCGTGAACAAGGGTTCAAGGAACCCAAGCTCCAGGAATACTTGCGTCACAAATACCCATGGGAGTGTTTGTGGACAAGGGCACTCCTGCCAAAGCCGGCGGTGTGGCACCCGAAGCCGCCGGAACACCTTTTAGGTCTGCGATACCAAGGATGCTTCGCAGCTGATGCAAAAGTGGAAGCGGAAGGCTTGATCTTCGCCACTGACGCAAGTGGAGGTCCAGGAGGAATAGACCCACGTGTACAAACATCAGCCCTTGCAGTGGTGGCTATGTCCTGGACAAAAGGTGTCCTGGTGGAAGTCGGACGGATTACAGAGCTGGTCTACCCGTGGCAGCCGGTGGTGGACATGGAGCGTCGTGCACTTTTCCGACTAATGGAGCACACGGAGGATCTGATTGATGTCACTATGGATTGCAAGCCGGCAGTCCAAGTGCTACAAAAAACACAACCGCCGGAGGATGACCTGGAATGGAGCAAAGTGTGGAATGGCAGGAAACGTATCCAGGCAACATGGGTCCCGTCCCACAAAACTGAAGAGGAATTCCTGGCGAAGATGGGGCCGGGTACGTTGTGGCGACGTGCAGCGACTGACATGGCAGACAAAGTATGTGGAGCAGTGGCGGCGGCTGCTTACAGCCCAGCGCACAAGAGGCGTGTCAAAGAATTGGACAATGTGGTGCGCACACTTTCCCTGGCGTACGGTGCACGCGCAGCCCACATATTGCGGAAGCGCAAAGAAGAAGACTTCCCCTTCATCCTGGACCATGCGCATTACAAAGAGAAGATGGAAGCCTCGCAGAAAGCTGAGGGATGCAAAAAAGAGCAGGGCAGCGCCAAACTCAACAAACGCCAGCGGCTTTGGCAGTTGCTTAAAAACCCGGAGCGCGGGCATCAATGGGAGAAGGGCAGCGAACACCCCCGGAATTTAACACTGAAATGTCAACTGTGCGGGTTGTATGTACAACAAACCCTCACGAACTTGGAGGTGGTCTTGGAGCAGTACTGCGTCAACCAGCCGGAGGCGCGAGTGCGTGAAGAGTGGGGTATCCACCCCTCCCATAATATGGTGAATTTGGGAATCCGTTGGGTTTGCACAAAGTGTGACAGAACACATGCACCGGTCAGCCAGAAGTGCAATAAAAGCCTGGCGGGTGAGTGCAAATCGCGGACTTCTCAAGGCAAGCTGGCTACCCAAGCGCAAACCCTTGTCAATGGTGGAAGTATGAGCAACGTCCAGTTTCAGGAGCCTCGCGTTCAGTTTGGTGGGAAACACGCCAAAGCTAAGCCCCAAGCCAGCGCACAGCAGAAGATGTCATTGTTTGTTAGGCCTCGCCAAGCTGAGGGAACGCAGTAATTCTGCAGCCGTTTGGTGCAAGGAGCAGGGTTTTTTCGGCCTCGTAGCTGAGGGTGAGGGCCTCGCAAAGGGGACTTGCGATTGGTGTTTACGGCCTCGCTTTGCTGAGGGAGTGTAATTCGGCCTCGCGGTGCCGCGTGCTTGCGACATCGCCGGACAAGGCGGGCCTGTAGCAATGAGGCAATGGAAGACGGATGCTACGATGAGAAGACAAGGGTCCCGACTGCCATCCTGGTTAAGGAATCGGCCGGACAAAGGCAAGGGCAAAAGCAAGAACAAGCAGAAGGATCAGCCCCGTGAACGTTCCCCGCTTCGACAGGCCAGACACCCGGAGCAGCCTTGGGATAGTGAAGAGGAGAGAGCTTCGGAATCTCCGGTGGGTCCGGTACGCCTACGGGAGAGAGGAGAAGACAGTACGGCCTCGCCTCAAGCTGAGGGTGTCGATGAAGAGCAAGAGGCAAGCCAGCCTCGTACAGTCACGCTGGCGGAAGGGCCAGGTGCCCACAATATGGCCTCGCAGGAAGCTGAGGGAAAGGAGAAAAAGAAAGCCATGGGGCAAGTCAAGCCTGTGCACCTTTTGGTGCATAAATTGCAGAACCAGCAAAGGCCAAGGACAGCGCTCCATTGGCTTGGGGAGGTCCAATTGGTCCGCAACCCAACGACAGGGCAAAGCTTACAGCCTAGGGTGCTTCCCTTTATAGGTGCGGGGCGCACTCGACGAGGATATGCTCTGGATCGGCTATGGGTCATGAAACTAGCGATGGAACCCCAGAGCTTTGGCAACGAAGCAGGGTATGGGGAACAATTCCCCACCCTGGTCACCAGGACCCTGTGGGCAGGATGGATTGGAGTCCTTTTCGACGAAGCGGTGGAGGGTTACTGCCACCACTACTTCTATGGAAGTATCATCCGCAGGGCAGAGCTGTTCAACACATGGTGGCAGGAACATCGCCATGAAGCCGGGGTCCTCAGACAGTCCCTGTTTTACCTGGTGGCTATAACGTCATGGCTGACCATGCAAGGAGTTGCTCTATCGGATATCACGGTGAGCAACGTTGGGCGCGACCCAATGTCAGGATCGCTACCACGGGCAATGTTCTTTGACACGGCGGAGTGGACGACGCTGCAGGAGGAGAGATACAAGATATCATGCGGCCTCGTACGCCTCCTGGAGAAATATGATGAGGAGCTACTGGCAACCATACGTGGATTGGTCAGAACGTACGACGGCAAGGCCAGCGCGCTTTGGATGGCGTGCGTAGGCAATGTCGGGCCATTTGCCCAGCACCTGCTGGATGCCGGAATTGCAAAACGAGGATGGGATGGAACCCTACATTCGGTTCCGGCAACAGAGATCCAGAAAATCACGTTGGGCATGCCGTATGACGAAGCTGATGAGTGAGCAGCGCAGAACAGACAAGAAACATGGATAGTGGTCAGAGAGGCACCAACAAACCGAATCAAAATACCGCCTCGGCGTGCTGCCTGAGGAGTTTCGGCCTCGACTTCGGTCTGAGGGGTGCAAGAGAGGGAAGTTCGGCCTCGGCATGACCTGAGGGAATTTCGGCCTCGACCACGGTCTGAGGGAATGGATTTCGGCCTCGACAAATGTCTGAGGAAAGTGAGGGCTAGTACCGGTAGTCTCACTGTGCAGAGTTTGTAGCTTGTATGTTTCACCCACTAACCTCAGCCCCTTCGGGTGGCTACGCCTCGCAGCGTGCAGACGTAAAATTCACCTGGCTCAAGTCTCGGCTCAACCCCGGTGGGGTGCGCAGGTAGTGAGCTGTTCGGTGGCCTGGAGGCTGTACCTAAGGGTGGGCTCCAACAGGACTCAAACCGAAACCACTGTGTTTGCTCGGTAGTTCTGCCAGCCACATAGCTGCCTGTGTACGGCCTCGCCGAGTGCTGAGGGAACTTTCGACCTCGCTGCTGAGGGTGTTGTCGGCCTCGCATAAGCTGAGGATTGTGGAAAGTCTTCGGCCTCGCTCGGAGGGACAACATAGTTCGGCCTCACCACGGTTGAGGGAAACACCTCCTGGAACTGAGGTGCAAGAAGATAGCAGACCTGTGCGAGCGAAGAGGGTTCCGAGGCCTTAACTTCCTTTGTTGGAACAGGGCCCCGTCTCAACCGCAGATTTCCGCTCGTGGGCTATCGGCGACCAGAGTGGCCGTCCACAGTGCCCTGGACAGTGTGCCACACGCCAAAGAGACTTGCTGCAAGGCAGACGGAGAGCGACGGACCATGCCGGCAATTGCGTGCTGTGTATTTGCATGGTCACACCAGGGGCGTCGTGAAGGGCTTTTCCTGGAACTGTCGCAGTCATATCGTATCCACTTTGTCCGTCGCACCAGGAGAGGCAACATAGCCTGGGGCAGCTGTGGGAATTGGAATGTCCAAAGAAGCCTGAATGCAGCTAACCTCCACCTGCAGCTCCGGGATTTCCGATGCTGTGAGGATGCGAGGCTTTGGAACATCGATTTCTATGTCGATCCCACAAACCCATCCCTGATGATTGATGGCAGCGGACGTGAAATCAGGTACCTGGGTAGGCTGGTGATTATGGTGTATGGCCCTGATGTGTCGAGAAGGATGCTGGCCTTGTCGGAAGATGATGAGGAATGGATGCTCCTTTGAGGTGATGAAACGTCGCCGGCCAGTAACCAGGCAAGTGGAAGTGGATTGAATTGCGAGCACAGCCTCGCCATTAAGGGCCATGTGAGGGCAAACCCGAATGCAGGCTTAGCTTGCCGGAATGAGGGTGATCAACATACCCTCGCAGCACAATGCTTTCAGAACCCGTGAAACCAGCGGAGATGCCATGTGAGGCTATGCAAGGGCAGTTTCGGCCTCGCTATGCTGGAGTAAAGGTTCGGCCTCGCCTCGGCTGAGGGAATGGATGGTTCGGCCTCGCCAAGGCTGAGGGAACAACAGAAGGGTTGCGAAA